AGGAAGGAATAGGGATAGAGAGTTAGAAACATCAATGAGAGAGAAACATGGATCAGCTGCCTCCTGCATACCCCCTACTGGGGATGTGCCCGCAACCAAGGTACATGCCTTTGACCAGAATCGAACCTGGGACCCTTCAGTCCGCAGGCCGATGCTCTATCCACTGAGCCAAACCGGTTACGGTCCTATTTCTTCTTTTTACAGCAGACCCTGTAGCATTTTTTGCATTGCTGGGTTGGGGTAATAAACCTCTTAGTCCTTTTTTGTCTGTGAAGCTCCTGATTTCACCCTCAACTTTGATTGATAGCCTTACTGGGTACAGTATTCTTGGATTCAGACCCTTGCTTTGCATGAGTTTGTATATTTCATTCCATTCCCTTCTGGCTTGATGTGTTTCTGTTGAAATAACAGTTGATAGTCTGATGGGAGATCCCTTGTAGGTATCTTTCTGTCTCTCTGTGGCAGCCTTTAAGATTCTTACCTTGTCATTGGTGTTTGCCAATTTAATTACAATGTGTCTTGATGTTGGTCTTTGTGGATTCATCTTGTTTGGGACTCTGTGAGTTTCTTGGACTTCTGTGAGTTTTTCTTCCCCAAATCAGGGAAGTTTTCTGTCATTATTTCTTCAAACATGTTTTCTATTCCTTGCTCAGTTTCCTCTCCTTCTGGCACTCCTATTATTCAGATGTTGTTTTGTTTTTTGTTGTCCCAAAGTTCCTTACGCTCTCCTCCTGTTTTTTAATTTTTTTTCCAGTTTCTGCTCTGCTTGGGTATTTTTTTCCTACCTTGTCTTCTAGCTCACTGATGTAGTCCTCATCTTCTTCTAGTCTACTGTTGATGCTTTCTATTGTGTTCTTTATTTCAGCTTTGTCATTTTTCATTTCTTCTTGGTTCTTCATTTCCTCTTGGTTCTTACACATGTTGTTGAATTTGTCTTCTATCCTTTTCAGCATCCTTATGACCATTGCTCTAAATTCGTTCTCTGACAGGTTGCTTGCCTCCATTTCGTTTACTTCCTTTTCCGATGAATCTCCTTTTCTTTTGTATGGGGCTGTTTTTTTGTTTCCCCATTTTTGCTCCTCTCAGGGTGTCTGGTTATGTGGCTCACTCTCTACCACTTTGACTTAAAGGCACAAAGTACAACTTGCCAAGACACAACTCATAGGGCACAAAACACGAATGTACTCATGATATCAATAATCCTAAATAAAGGTGACCACCAGAGAAAAGAGAAGTAGGGGAAAGGAAAAAATGTAAGAGAGAAATGAAAAAGAAGAAAAAAGAATGGAAAAAATATAAATGTATATGGGGAGACAACTCCAAAAAAACCAACAACTGATCCAAAAATGCAAACAACAAACACATAAAAAGGGAGGGAAGCTGAATCTGAAGAGGCAGAGCTTATTTCCAAAAGATAAGGTTAAGGAATTGAGTGAATGGAGAAATGGCCAGGATTCAGTTTAGAGGGGATAGAAAGAAATGAGTGTATAAGAAGAAAAGAAAGAAAATACTAAAAAAAAAAGTAGAAAATAATAATTGAAAAAAAGAAAAAAATATGTAAAAAATTTTTCCTTTCTTTAATCTATCTATCCATCTATGTATTCATCTATTTTTGGAAAAGGAGAATAGAGAGCCTATAGGCCTGAGTTGGTGATTGAAACAAATTAAGCTATTAGTAGGAGAAGAGAACAGTGAGGAGAGGAAAAACAAAATCATAAAATAAAAAACCAAAACCAACAAAAAATAGACTAACAGTCAAACAAACAACAACAAGAAAGAGAGAAAAAATATTTGGCTAGTGAAGAAAGAGAAGTGTGCATGGACTTGGAGCAGGGGAGAGGAAATGAGATATATGAGTAGGCCAACAGAGAATACTTTAATAGCAATGCATCAGTAAAGCAGATAAAGAAGATCAATTTTTAACAGGGAGTAAAAAGAAAGGATAGAGAAAAACTAAAGCAGGAACAGGAGAAGAGAAACAGGATGAAAATAGGAAAAGTGAGGAAGAAAGTGTTGGCATAAAGGAAAAAATGAGATAGAGTAAGATAATGATAAAAGAAATAAAAATAAAAATAGAATGTAGAACCCTAATCCAAAACATTTTAAAAAATGGTAAAAAGTATAATAATAAAAACTATAATAATAAAAAAATAAAGTGAGAAAAATTTTTAGTTTCATAAGTAAAAGATAACAAATAAAAAAGTGAAGTAGTGAAGTTCAGCAGAGCTTCAGTGTCCCATGGGGGCAGGTTTAAGACCCCTCTCTACTGTTCTGCCTGCCACATCTCAGTTTCCTGTCATGTAGTCAGCACAGTGTTGAAGTTCTCAGCGATCCAGCGCTCCTCTGTGTCATACGTCACAACCTTGGTTTTAAGCAGATGGGATCAATCTGCCCACTTTGATTTTCTGCCTGCTTTTAGTCGTATTTACACAAGCGTCTATTTCTGACATAGCCCCTAGGTGGCAGTGTTTCTGTATTTCCAGGACCAAATGGCCCCTCAACTCAGTCCCCCATTGCTCCCTGGGGGTATTTAGATCTTCCTTCCCCTGCTATGCTCAAGACTGGGTGAGGCTGTGCTGCTAAGAGGAGCCTGGTCTTCAGGAGAAAAATGTCTGTTCAGGATTGAAGGGACGGACTCTCCCAGAGCTGGCTTCCTACTCATCTCCCCCTATTCTGCTCCCCAGTTTTCACAAAAATCACCTTCTCCTGCAGTCTCGGTGAGTGTTTTTAATTGAAAGATCAGATGCACCGGGTTTAGCAAGTAAGAGCAAGGAAGTTATAAAGATAGAGCAACTGTGCTGCCTTGTGTCTTTCTCCCCCCAGCACTGTGCGGCCGATATAGAACTTCAGGTTGCCTTTCTGGGTGCAGTCTCCCATGGCTGTGGTCTTAGATCTAAAGTCCCCCACTGCCAGCAGCCCTGTGGAACCCCTTTCACATTTGAGGGTTACCCTGACCCCAAATTGGTGTTTGTGTGTTCGCAGCCGAGGCAGCTGGTCCCTGGGCGTTGTGGCTGTAGGATCAGCCGCTCTCCCCTTCAAGATGGCTAAGGTAATCTTGATGAATATCACAGCAAAGGGCCATACTGTAATTGATAGTAAGACTTATTTACCATAAAGCTTCAGTGATTAAGACAGCAGTAGACAAATAAATAGACCAATGGATTAGAATAGTTTAGAAATAGACAAATGATAGGCATATACTCATTTTTTAAAAAAATCCTCACTTGAGGATATTTTTTCATTGATTTTTAGAGAGAATGGAAGAGAGAGGGAAAGACAGAGAGAAATATCGATGTGGGAGAAAGACATTAGTTGATTGCCTCCTGCATGTACCCTGACCCAGGCCTGGGCTAGGGAGGACCCTGCAACCAAGGTATGTGCCCTTGACCGGAATCAAACCCTGGACCCTTTGGTCTGCTGGCTGATGCTCTATGCACTGAGCAAGACTGGCTAGGGCTGTAATAAAATTTTTACAAAGATGATTGTCATGTACTTACTAGTGGGCAATATTTTTTTATTGAGCTAATATTGGTATATTATATTATATTTATAAGTTTCAGGTGTACTACATAATTTGACATCAGTATACACTGCAATGTGATAAGCACCAAAAGTCTGATAATAGTGGATAGTCTTTTTGATAAATGTAATTTCACTGCTATTCAAAATATAAAACTTAGTTAGATTGTAGATCTACATGTAAAATTAAACAATAAAGCCTTGGAAGGTAAAAAAAGGAACATAGCTTCATGACTATTGGCATAGGGAAAGTTTTCTTAAAGTAGACGGAAAAAACACTAATGATAAAGGAAACATTGGATGCATTGGACCACATCAAATTAAGGAAATTTTGTTCATGAAAAGACATTAAGAGAGTGAAAAGACAAGCCACAGAGTAGAGAAAGTATTAGCAGTGCATGACTAAGAATGACTCATATACAGAATACATAAAATGCTTGCAGAAATCAATAAAAAGGCAAATGCAATAGAAAATGGACAAGATACTTGAATAAATACTTCACACAAAAAGATAGCCAATTTGTCAAAAATATATGAGATGCAAGTTAAAACTTAATGAAATATTTACCTTACACCCACCAGAAATGATAACAAAAACAGCACTAAGTGTCCCATTCTCCTTGGCAAGGAAGTTATATGTGCACTTGTTAAATATATGCAAAGCCTAATCCAAGAATGTGATTTCTCTTGACAACAGTTCCTATGTCATTAAGAATAATAGAAGGAAGCAGATATCACCCTTAAATGCAATATTTTGTTATGTGGGCACTTCATGAGCTCAGAGGTGGAATATTATGTGGACTATTCTAAGTGTACATGAGAGCTGTCATAAGAAATTAGGTAACTTGAAGATCATGGCTGAGATAGCCAAAATATAATGTAAAAACAGCCCTTTTATATACTTATTATGTTAATTATGCAAATGTTTAATTAGGGTGAAGCTTGGCACTAACTCAATATGCTTATCCTATATAATAAAAGGGTAATATGCAAATTGATCGAACGTCAGAACAACTGGTAGCTATGACACACACTGACCACCAGGGGGCAGACAATCAATGCAGGAGCTGCCCCCAGGTGGTCAGTGTGCTCCCACAGGTGGACCACCACTCAGCCAGAAGCCAGGCTGATGGCTGGCGAGCATGGCAGCATCAGGAGCCTCTCCCATCTCTGCGGCTGCGGGAGCGGGCCTAAGCCATCAGTCAGACATCCCCCGAAGGCTTCCGGACTGTGAAAGGGTGCAGGCCAGGCTGAGGAACCCTCCCTCTCCCTAGTGTACAAATGTCGTGCACTGGGCCTCTAGTATCTCAATAAAATTTCATAAGAAGAGCTTCCGCTTCTCACCTGTCCAAGGAGCTGTATTTACCTATTCTTAAAGTACTTGATAGAACAATAAAAATGTTCAGAATTAGAAAAAATATTATTTTTAACACCCTTCAATGAATTGTCTTTCATTTTCATTTTCTTTGTTTTTAATGCAGTATTCCGAGGAGATAACTTTGGAGGCATTTTCAGTAATTGTTACCCAGATGGTGGGACTCAGTCTGGGCATATCATATGATGACCCAAAGAAGTGCCAGTGTTCAGGAGCCATTTGTGTAATGAATGCAGAGGCTGTGTAAGTTTTTAAATACTAAGATTTATTTATTATGTTTATTTTGTTTTAAACATTTGAAGCACAAATATAGGGTTTACTTATAGCACTCATTAGCTATAAATGGACCAAGTACTATGAACTTTAAACAGGAAATATTCAGTGTAAGAGGAGCATGGAGGGAGATGTACCATTAAGAACAGTCAAGGATAACCAATCCAACCTGCAAGATACATTATCAGACAAAATAGACTTTACAACAAAGGCTATAAAAAGATAAATGAGAACATAATGATAAAGGGAATAATCCAACAAGAGGATAAAACCCTTGTAAACATTTATGCACCCAAGATAGGAGCACCTAAATAAATAAAGCAAACGGATGGGCATAAAGTGGGAGATTGACAGTAATACAGTCATACTAGGTGATTTTGATATATATACCCAGAAGTGGGAATTTTTGATCATATGGGTTGCTATATTTTTAATTTTTTGTAGCAGCAATGCCAGTTTACATTCTCATCAATAGTGTTCCAGGGTTTCGATTTCTTCACAACCTTGCCAGCACTTACTATTTAAAAAAAAAATTAGCCATTCTGACATGTGTGAGGTGATATCTCATTGAGTTTTGGACTTGCATTTCCCTGATGTTTAGTGATTTTGTACACCTTTTCATATACATGTTGTTTGGCCATTCATATGTCTTCTTTAGAAAAATGTCTCTTTAAGCCTTTATCCATTTTCTAGTCCCTTGTTTGTTTTTGCTATTGAGTTGCACTTAATTTTGTTTTCATAAGGACATGTGTGCCAGTGAATAAATCATATGATTTCCTCAAGAATGATTTTGGCCTCTAAGCTTTCGTTATGAACATTTATAATTTTTTATTGAATTTTACATTTTGAAATTAATTTATATAATACAGAGTTTTGTTTTTAAGAGTATGCTGCCAACAACATTATACGGATTCATCTTTAGGCAGTCCAGTGGTGTGAAGACTTTTAGCAATTGCAGTTTGAGTGACTTTAAAAGTTTCATTTTAAATATGGGTGCCAAATGTCTTCAGAATAAGCCACAAATGCAAGTGCGTCAAAAAGCAGTCTGTGGCAACGGCAAAGTGGAGACCCCTGAAGTTTGTGACTGTGGTACTGAGGATGTAAGTCTGATAACTAGGAAAATTGATTAGTACATTTATTGTTGCAGTTAATCTCTTTGTAAAATTAAGGTGGAAATACATGCAAGAATATACTAAGTTTTATAGATGAAAAAGTTTTGAACAAATATAAAATGTACTCCAAAAAATTAATGCTGATGGGACAAATGGGAGTTTAGGATGAGGTTTTTAGTTCCAGACTAAATATATAAGATCTTTCCAAACCTATGCTTAACCTTTGGACATTTTATAAATGTCTTATTGAATATTAATGTGATAATGGACTATCAAGTATCCTTTAGGGTCTGACTTCACAGTGGAACTAGAATTATGGTAAGAGAGGTCTGTGTTAATATTACAATCTGAACAATTGGGAGATTTTGATGGAATATCCTGAAACTATGAATGCAAAATTTCCAGGATATAATGATTCTAATGAAGTATTTGAACAACATAACAGATGTCATAAATTTCTATGATTACAAAATAAATAGTTGCAAATAACTATTAGGGTTTGATAAAGAGTTTGAATATACTTGTGCATATATCATATTGTTTTAATTACTGTGCCTTTTTTTGGTATTATGTTTTACCATTTGGTAGAACAAGTTTTCTCTCTTTATTCTTTCTTTATTTTCAAATTATTTTTATTGGGGCATAATCTACATACGATAAAACTTACTCATTTTAAATATACAGATTGATGATTTTCGGCAAATGTATATAAGCATTGGTGCAGATTTTTTTCATTATACCCCAAACTTGGTCAAAAGTTACAGTAATTTCCACATGTTCTCATCTTCAGACCACTTCTGATTTTGTCAGTTTTGTTTGATTAAGAAAGTCATATGAGTCCTGGCCAGTTTAGCTTAGTGGCTAGAGCATCGGCCTGCACATGAAAGGGTCTTGGGTTCAATTCTTGCTCAAGGGCATGTACCTGTGTTGCAGGTTTGATACCTGGCCCTGGTCAGGGCTTGTATGGGAGGCAACCAATCCATGTGTCTCTCTCACATTGATGCTTCTTTCTCTCCTGCTCCCTTTCTTCCTTCATCTCTCTCTAAAAAAATCAATGGAAAAAAATATTCTTGGGTGAGGCTTAACAACAACAAAAAAATCATATGAAAGAAATGATACAACACATATTCTTTGTGTCTAGCTTCTTCCTTTCAACACAGTATTTTTGAGATTCAGCTACATTGTTTTCTGTCATAATAGTCTTTCCTTTTTATTTTGAGTTATATTTCATTGTTTGGATATACAACAATCTGTTTTTCCATCCATTTAATAATGGCCATTTGAATTGTTAACAGTATTGGGCCTTTATTCTGAACTCTAAAATAATTGCTGGGTCATATAATAAGTGTATTTTTATGAGAAACTTCCAAACTATCTTCCAAAGTGGCTGTATCATTTTATAGTCCTATCAGCAGTATATGAAACTTTGCCTCCACATCCTCATCAGAAATTGATATTGCAGCCTTTAAATTTTAGCCATTCCAATGATTTTGATTTGTATTTCCTTGATGACACTAATAATGTTGAGCATGTTTTCATGTCCTTATTGGCCACTTGTTGTTTGAATAATATGTTTAAATACGTGGCCAGTTTTAAAAATGAAGTTACTTATTTTTTTATAATCAACTTTTAAGAGTTCTTTGTATAGGCTGGATACCAGTTCTTTGTCAGACATGTATATTAAAAATATTTGTTTTCAGTCTATGGATTACTCATTCAGTTTCTTAACCAAGTCTTTGAATAGCAGGCATTACTTATTTTTTATAAAGTCCAATTTATAACTTTTTCTGCTATGGCCATGCTTTTTCTATTTTAATAAATCTTTGCTTACCCAAGGTAATAAATATTTTCTATGTTTTCTGCTAGAAGTTATATAGTTATAACTTTTAAATTTAGCCTGTGATACATTTGAGTTTGTTTTTATGTTTGAGAGATTTGGGTTAACATACATTATCCTCCATGTGAATATAGTTTTTTTTTCTAGTAGTATTTGTTAAAGTAACTATCTTTCGCCATTGTTTTATCTTAACACCTTATGAAAATAAGTTACCACCCATGTGTATCTCTGCCTGAATTTGTTTTCTGTTTTTTAAAATATGTCCATTATTATGCCAATTCCACACTCTCTTAATTAATGTACTTTTATAGTAAGTCTTGAAACCACAGTGTAACTCATCCAACTTTACTTGTCTTTTCCAGGATAGCTTTACTATTCTAGTACCTTTGTATTTCCACATAAATTATAGAATCAGCATGTGAATGTAGGGACTTTGATTGGAATTGTGTTGCATCCATACATCAATTTTCTGGAATTACTTTCTTACCAATATTGAGTCTATCCATGCCCATGGTGTTAAATTTAGGTCTTCTTCTTTTAAAAAAAATGATTTTATTGATTTTATTGGGATGAAATTGGTTAATAAAATTGTATAGGTTTCAACTGTATAATTCTGTAATACATCATCTGTACATTGTAGTGTGTGTTCACCACTCATAGCCTCGTCTCCTTGTATCCCCCCTTTACCCTCTTCTATCACTCCCCACTCCCTTTTCCCTCTGATAATCACCACACTATTCTCTGTGTCTATGTTTTTTGTTTTAGTTTTTTGCTTATTCCCTTCACCTTCTTAACCTAACCCTCCCAGCCCACCTCCCCTCTGAAAGCTGTCAGTTTGTTCTCTGTGTTTATGAGTATGTTTGTATTTTGTTTGTTAGTTTCTTTGTTCATTAAATTCCACATATAAGTAAAATCATAAGGTATTTTATCTTTCTCTGACTTGCTTATTTCACTTAGCATAATTATCTCCAGGTCCATCCATGCTGTTGAAAAAGGTGAGTTACTTCTCTTTTTTTACTGCTGTGTAGTATTCCATTGTGTAAACGTACCACAGCTTTTTTTTTAATCCATTCATCTAGGAATGGGAACTTGGGCTGCTTCCAAATCTTAGCTATTGTAAATAGCACGGCAATGAACATAAAGATGTATATATTCTTTCAAGTTAGTGTTTAAGGTTTCTTAGGCTATATTTCCAGAAGTGGGATCACGAGGTCAAAAGGCAGTTCCATTTTTAATTTTTTGAGGTGACTCCATACTGTTTTCCACAGTGGTTGTACCAGTCTGCATCCCCACCAGTAGTGCATGGGTTTTCTCTTTTCTCCACATCCTCGCCAACACTTGTTGTTTATTAGTTTATTGATGGTAGCTATTCTGTCAGGTGTGAGTTGATATCTCATTGTGGTTTTAATGTACCTTCCTCTGATGATTAGTGATGCTGAGCAATTTTTTCACATGTCTACTGGCTATCTGTATGTCCTCCTTGGAGAAGTGTCTATTTAGGTCTTTTGTCCATTTTTAAAGTAGAGTGTTGGTCTTCCTGGTGTTGAATTGTATAAGTTCTTTAATTTGTTTAGTTTTTGTGTAGTTTACTGGTTTTGATAGTATTAATATTTTATTTAACCATTGCTAGTGAAAAAACACTATTGACTTTGTGAGTCCACCTTGGATTTAGTGTTGGTTAGATGTACTGAGAATGGTCTTCCTTGTTTTGTTCTTATTTTTATGGAGAAAGCTTTCTGATTTTCACCACTTAATATGATGTTAGATATAACCTTTTTTTTTTTTTAAACAGATGCCCTCTGTCATCTTCAGGAAGTTTCCTTCTGTTTGTAGTTAGCTGAGAACTTTGAGCCAAAAATTAGTGTTGAACTTTGTTAAATGTCTTATTTCTGTGTCTATTGGGCTGATCATATGCATTTTCTCCTTTTTTCCCTATTAATCTAGTGCATTTCACTGGTTGGTTTTGAATGCTAACCCAATCATGCATTACTGAGATTAGCTCCACTTGGATTTTGATCTACCTAGCTCGTTAGCTAGATTTAATTAGCCAATATTTCCTTAGGATTATGGTGCTTGTTTTCACAAGGAGATTGCGAAAGAATTTGTTTAAGATTGGTGTTATTCCTATTTATTTTTTTACATTGTGGAAGAGTACTTAACATTAGATCTTCACCCTTAAATCTACCCTTCTAGAATCTTTATAGTTTTGCATTTTACATTTAGGTTTATGATGCATTTTGAAGATGTGTGTGTGTGTGTGTGTGTGTGTACGCGTGTGTATGTATGGAAGGTATAGGAACAGTGTCTAGAGTTATTTTCCATGTGGATGTCCAGTTGTCTAGCACCATTTATTGAAAACACTATTTATTCTCTATTGAATTGTAATTGCACCACTGTCAAAGATCTTATTATCTCAGTCTATTTCTTGGGTCTGTATTTTGTTTAAATTATATCTTTGCTTATTCTTTTGTGAATACCATATAATCATTAGTTCAGTTTATAATAAGTTTTGAAATTGGGTATTGTCAGTCTTTCCATTTTTCTCCTCCTCCTCCTCCTCCTCCTCCTCCTCCTCCTCCTCCTTTTTCTTCATCTGTATTGTATTGACTCTTGTGGTTCTTTTGCCTCTTCATAAAACTTTAGAGTCAGTTTGTCATCTTGCTGGAATTTTAATTGGAATTACATTGAATCTCTAAATCAGGTTGGGAAGAACTGACAACTTAATAATATTGAGTTTTCCTATTCATGAACATGAAATATATCTCTATTTATTTATATCTTCTTTGATTTCTTTTATTATAGTTTTGTAGTTTTTCTTATATAGATCCTGTAAAATTTTGTTAGAACTATTCCCAAGAACTTCATTGTTTTGGTGGTCATGTAAATGAAATTGTGTTTTTTATTTCAAAGTTCCATTTTTTAATTGCTTCTCTACAGAAAAACAGTTGAATTTTGTGTATTAACTTTGGTATCCAGCAACCTTGATATAATCACTTATTAGTCATGGGAAGTTTTTGTTGTTGCTGTTGTTTGGCTGATTATTTGGAATTTTCTTTGCATGTATGGACACAACAATTTTGCTTCTTTCTTTCTAACATGTATTTTTTCAAACATTTATTTTATTTTATTATTACACTAGAGGCATGGTACACAAATTTGTGTACCAGTGGGGGGCCCTCGGCCTGGCCTGCAGGATTGGTCCGAAACCAGCTCTCCAACATTCCCCAAGGGGTCCTGGATTGCGAGAGGGGACAGACCAGGCCGAGGGACCCCACCGGTGTACGATCAGGGCCAGGAAGGGACTGCAGGAGGCTTCAGGGTGTGTCCGCCTGTCTTGCTCAGTCCCCATTGGCTAGACCCCAGAAGCAAGCTAACCTACCGGTTGGAGTGTCTGCCCCCTGGTGGTCAGTGCACATCATAGCAACTGGTCGACCGGTCGACTGTCTGCCTCTTGGTGGTCAGTGCATGTCATAGCGAATGGTTGAGCAGCTTTAGCATATCATTAGCATATTAAGCTTTGATTGGTTGAACGGCCAACAGACGACTAGACACTTAGCATATTAGGCTTTTATTATATAGGATTAAGACTAGGATTATGACAGGGGTAGTGAGACGGGGCATCTTGGCCTTGTTCCCAGTCTAATAGTCTTATCTCACCATAAGTATAGCTATAGACATTTTAGTTGTTGTAGTTTATAATCCTCACCTGAGGATATTTTTTCCTATGTATTTTATTTTTTTTTAAAGTAAAAGGGAGGCAGTGGGGTCGGGGGTGAGAGAAAATCAATGTGAAAGAGACATCAATTAGTTGCTTCCTACACATGCTCCAACCGGTGCTTGGGATTGAACCTACAACCCAGGTTCATGCCCTTGACTGGGAATTGAACCCACAACCCTTTGGTCCACGGACCAGCCACTGAACAACACTGGTCAGGGCTGTAGACTTTTTTTAGATGTTTGTTATCAGATTGAGAAAGATTCTCTTTATTCCTGTTTTGCTAACATTTTGTATAATAAATGAGAGTTGTATTTTGTCTGATGCCTTTTCTGTAACAGTTATTACGGTCATATGATTTTTCTTTAACCTGTCAACTCTATGGATTATATTAATTGGTATTTGAATTATGAACCAGCCTTGAATACTTTGATAAATCCCACTTGGTTGTGATGCATATTTTTTATACATTGCTGGATTTGATTTACTAATTTTTTGTTGAATACTTTTGCATCCATGCTTATGAGAGATATTGGTCTGTAATTTTCATTTCTTATAATGTCTTAAACTGGGTTTGGTATTAGGGTTATACTGGCCTTAAAGAATGAGTTAAGAAGTGTCACACATCAATGCTTGGAGTGTAGCAAGTCTGTGATTCCATGGGTTGAAGGTAATAGGAACTCCATGTTTAGTGCTTCTCTGAGATTCTGTCCTAGGTGCTTTTTCTCTTGGTTGATTTTAATTTGTATCCTTCCCATATAAGAAACCAAAACTTGAATATACAGCTATCAGTGAAATGTGTGAGTTCTATCAGGAAATGATCAAAACTGAGGGTGGTTTTGGGACTCCAGTGAACTGGTGATTGCTGTAAAATGCAAGGGCAGTCTTAGGGACCACTTTCTTTACCTTTGCAGTGGGCCTAAATTCTACACACACTTTCCCCCCAGATTTATTGAGGTATAATTGACAGATAAAAATGGTATATATTTAAGGTATACAGCATGGTATTTTGATATATGTATATATTGTGACGTGATTCTAGCAGTCCAACTAACATCCATCACCTAACAGTTATCATTTGTGTGTGTGTGTGTGTCTGTGTGTGCAGTACTGAGAATGCTTTGCTTGTCCTACTATCAAATTTCAAGTATACAGTCCATTACAGTTAACTGGAGTCATCATGATGTATATTAGTTTCTCAGAACTAGTTCATTTTCTAAATAATTTTGTGTTTTTTGATCAATATCCCCCCCCCCCCCCACTCGCCTGGCACTGGTAACCACCTTTCTACTCTCTTACTTTTATCCAGTTTCTGAAAAAAGTTGTTCCATATATTTTGTATAGTATTTTAATTGATTAAGAGTTAGTGGGGTTCCAGTAACTCTCTTTTGACCTGAAATACTTTAGTATTTTAATAGTTTAGAAATGTAAAAATCTATAAATTTTGAAAGAATTCATATTCTTTCCCCAAACTAAAAAGCCCAGTAAATATAGCTCCTACCAAAGTTTATATTGTTATAACGTATTTTTATTTGCATTTCACTCATTCATAGCAATGTGGAAAAGATAGCTGTTGTGATCCTAAACTTTGTGTGCTGAAAGCAGGATCAGCTTGTGATACAGGATTATGCTGCAGTAACTGTCAAGTAAGATTTAAGTTTATTAATATCATCCAAGTGTATAATGAATCATGTCTGGGATTCTTTCTTTCCCCTTTATTATTTTATTTATTTTATTTTTTTCCATCACGACTTATCCCCTATCCTCTGTATATCCTCTTCCACCTCCAACCACTCCCTCCCCCCGCCAATGGTAACCACTGTTGTCCGTTTCCATGAGTTATTTCCCTTTTTTCCTTTTTGATCAATCCCTTTACCTCCCCCCCCTCCCCCATCTGCCTGCTATCTATGAGTCTACCTCTATTCTAATTGTTTGTTCAGTTCATTAGATTCCACATATGAGTGAAATCATTTTGTTCTTCTAACTGGCTTATTTCACTTAGCATAATGTTCTCCAGGTCCATCCATGCTGTCGCAAAGGGTAAACTTTTCTTCCTTGTTAGGCTGAGTAGTATTCCATTGTGTAAATGTACCATAGCTGTTGTATCCACTCATCTGCTGATGGACAACACTTGGACTGTTTCCAAATGTTGGCTGTTGCAAATAATGCAGTTGATATCGGGGGTGCATATATTCTTTCGAATTAGTGTTTTGTGTTTCTTCGAATAAATTCCTAGAAGTGGAATTGATGGTTCATAAGGCAGTTCCATTTTAATTTTTTGAGGTAACTCCCTACTGCTTTCCACTGTGGCCGCTCCAATTTGCATTCCCACCAACAGTGCAGAAGGGTTCCTTTTTTCTCACAACACTTGTTCGTTGATTTATTGATCATAGCCATTCTGACAGGTGTGAGGTGATACCTCATTGTGGATTTAATTTGCATTTCACTGAGGATTAGTGACTTTGAGCATATTTTCATATGTCTATTGGCCATCTGTATGTCCTCTTTGGAGAAGTGTCTCTTCAAGACCTTTGCCCATTTTTAAATTGGGTTGTTGTTGTTGTATGTGTGTGTTGATTTTTATAAATTTTGGATATTAATCCCTTATCAGATGTATTGGTGAATATGGTCTCCCATTCAATGGATTGTCTTTTCATTTTGTTTCTGGTTTCTTTTGTAGTGCAAAACCTTTTTAGTTTGATGTAGTCCATTTGTTTTCTTGTTGTTTTGTTTCCCTTAGCTGAGGAATTATATCAGAAAAATTATTGTTACAAGAAATGTCAGAGATTTTACTGCCTATGTTTCCTTCTAGGATTTATAAAAAAAAAAGTATTTTTATTGATTTTAGAGAGGAAGTGAAAGGGAGAGAGGGATAGAAACATCAATGATGAGAGAGAATCATTGATTGGCTGCCTTCTGCATGCCCCACACTGGGGATCAAGCTTGCTACCTGGGCATGTGCCCTGACGGGGCATTGAACCGTAACCTCCTGATTCATAGGTTGACACTCAACCACTGAGCCACCCTGGCTGGGCTCCTTCTATGATTTTTATGGTTTCAAGTTTAACAATTAAGTTTTTAATCCATTTGAGTTTATTATTGTGTATGATGTAAGAAGGTGGTCTGGTTTCTTTTCTTTTTTTTCATTTATCTGTCCAATTTACCCAACAATATTTATTTAAACTAGAGGCCTGCTGCATGGATTCATGCACCGGTGGGGTCCCTCGGCCTGGCCTATGGGGATCAGGCCGAAACCGGCAGTCCAATATCCCCCAAGGGGTCTTGGATTGCTAGAGGGCGCAGGCCAGACAGAGGGACCTCACTGGTGCACAAATCCATGCACTGGGCCTCTAGAATGCATATAAGATCTTTGGTTAATCTCTTCCCGCCCTCTCCCCCTCCCCACTTCCTTCTGAGATGCATCAGTCTGTTCCATGTTTCCATGCCTGTGCATTGTGCATCTGCCCCTTGGTGGTCAGTGCGCATCGTAACGACTGGTCAAATGATCGAACAGTTGAATGGTTGGGCACTTAGCATATTAGCCTTTTATATATAGAGATTATCTTTAGCCCTTTGCATGTTTTTGCCTCCTTTGTCAAATATTAATTGACTCTAAAGGCATGGGTCTATTTCTGGGCTTTCTATTTTGTTCCATTGATCTGTATGTCTATTTTTATGCCAGTACCATGCTGTTTGATTACTGTGGCCTTATAGTATAGTTTGATATCAGGTAGCATGATTCCTCCAACTTTGTTTTTCTTTCTCAAGATCACTGTTGCTATTTGGGGTCTTTTGTGGTTCCATATAAATTTTTGGAATATTTTTTCTAGTTCTGTGAAATATGACATTGGTATCTTGATAGGTATTGTGTTGAATCTGTAGATTGCTTTGGGTAGTATGGACATTTTAATGATGTTAATTCTCCCTATCCATTAACATGGTATAGGCTTCCACTTATTTGTACCTTCTTCAATTTCCTTCTTAAGTGTCTTATAATTTTCTGAGTACAGGTCTTTTACATCCTTGGTTAAATTTATTCCTTGTTCTTTTATTCTTTTTGAAGCAACTGTGAATGAGATTGTTTTTTAGTTTGCCTTTCTGATAATTCATTATTAGTGTATAAAAATGTAACTGATTTCTGGATATTTATTTTGTATTCTGATACTTTACTGAATTCATTCATCAGTTTTAGTTGTTTTTTGATGGAGTCTTTAGGGTTCTCTATATACAGTATCATGTCATCATCTACAAATAATGACAGTTTTACTTCTTTTGATTTTTTTCTTTATTGATTAAGGTATTACATGTATGTTCTTATGCCCCCATTATCCCCCCATGCCCCCACTCATGCCCTCACCCCCATGGTGTCTATGTCCCTTGCTTAGGCTTATATGCATGCATACAAGTCCTTTGGTTGGTCTCTCCTGTCTTACTCCCACCCTCCCCAACCTTCCCTCTGAGGTTTGATAGTCTGATTGATGCTTCTGTCTCTGGATCTGTTTTTGTTAATTAGTTTATGTTGTTCATTATATTCCACAAATTAGTGAGATCAAGTGATATTTATCTTTCTCTGACTGTCTTATTCACTTAGCATAATGCTCTCCAGGTTTATCCATGCTGTTACAAATGATAAGAATTCCTTCTTTTTTATTGCAGCATAGTATTCCATTGTGTAGATGTACCACAGATTTTTATTTATTTATTTATTTATTTATTTTAAATGAAATCTTTATTGTTCAGATTATTACAGTTGTTCCTCTTTTTTCCTCCATAGCTCCCTTCTACCCAGTTCCCACCCCACCCTCTGCCCTTACCACCCCCCCCGCCCACTGTCCTCATCCATAGGTGTATGATTTTTGTCCAGTCTCTTCCCGCACCCCCACACCCCATTGCCCCCCCCCCCAGAATAGTCAGTCCACTCCCTTTCTATGCCCCTGATTCTACTATATTCACCAGTTTATTCTGTTCATCAGATTGGTTATTCACTTGATTTTTAGATTCACTTGTTGATAGATGTGTATTTGTTGTTCATAATTTGTATCTTTACCTTTTTCTTCTTCTTCATCTTCTTAAAGGATATCTTTCAGCATTTCATATAATATTGGTTTGGGGGTGATAAACTCCTTTAGCTTTTTCTTATCTGTGAAGCTCTTTATCTGACCTTCAATTCTGAATGATAGCTTTGCTGGGTAAAGTAATCTTGGTTGTAGGTTCTTGCTATTCATCACTTTGAATATTTCTTGCCACTCCCTTCTGGCCTGCAAAGTTTCTGTTGAGAAATCAGCTGACAGTCGTATGGGTACTCCCTTGTAGGTAACTGATTGTCTTTCTCTTGCTGCTTTTAAGATTCTCTCTTTGTCTTTTGCTCTTGGCATTTTAATTATGATGTGTCTTGGTGTGGTCCTCTTTGAATTCCTTTTGTTTGGGGTTCTCTGCGCTTCCTGGACTTGTAAGTCTATTTCTTTCACCAGGTAGGGGAAGTTTTTTGTCATTATTTCTTCAAATAGGTTTTCAATATCTTGGTCTCTCTCTTCTTCTGGCACCCCCATAATTCGGATGTTGGTACGCTTGAAGTTGTCCCAGAGGCTGCTTACACTATCTTCATATTTTTGGATTCTTTTTTCTTTTTGTTTTTCTGGTTGGGTGATTTTTGCTTCTTCGTATTTCAAATCTTTGACTTGATTCTTGCGATCCTCTAGTCTGCTGTTGGGTGTCTGTATAATATTCTTTATTTCAGTCAGTGTAGCTTAATTTCTAGTTGGTCCTTTTTAATAACCTCGAGGGTCTCACTAGATTTCTTGAGCGTCTCACTAAATTTATTTGCGGTTTCTAGAAAATTCTTGAAAAACCTTAAAAGTGTGGTTTTGAACTCTATATCCAGTAGTTTGCTTTCCTCCATTTCTGTCATTTGTGACCTTTTTCTTTGTCTCCGCACTTTTTATGCTTCCCTGTGTTGATAGAGTGGCTTTCTGTGCTAGGTGTCCTATAGGGTGCAGTGGCTCAGCCTCCCCAATTACCTGAGGTGGACACTCTTGGTGCACCCCTTTGTGGGCTTTGTGCACAGTCTTGTTGTAGTTAAGCCTTGATTGTTGTAGGTATCACTGAGAGGAATTGACCTCCAGGCCAATTGTCTGTGAGAATCAGCTATGTCTGCAGTGGGAGAACTTCTGTGTTGGAGACACCCTTCTGGGGCAAGACTTGCTTCAGTGGGGCTTTGGTGCTCACTGAGTCTGCCCCCTGAGTGTGTCCCTTATGGATCTGTGGAGTTGTAATCTGGATGGTCCCATCTGACCACTGGGTACACTGGCTCTTGGATCTCTAAGGAGGTGCTAATTTAGCCTCTTCCTGAGGCTACCCAGCAGGAGCTATGGAGAGATTCCTCTTCTTTGTTTTGGGTTTGGAGGTGCCCAGATGAGGCCCAGCTGTGAAGCAATGCAAGCTGCTGTGGGGCCTTGGGCCTTCTTTTGGAAGTTCTGGGTCTCTCTGACCCAGCTGCAGTTTGTTAGGTAATTTTCAGATACACAAAGGGCCAGGCCTTTCATATGCAAAAGCATCTGTGCACAGTTTGGGTGGGGCCGGGTCTCAGGGGATCAACAGGGCGGAGCAAACAGCTATGGCTGCTCCTCAGTCCTACCCTAAGAGGCCC